GTGAATGGTTAGTCATACGCCGGCTGCTTGGGGATGGCCTGGGGATAGCCCCTCTCGTCATCGTGGCCTGTATTATTTGTTCGCCGAATGTGGATAGAGGGGTCCAAGCCAGGGATCTGGATGGGTGACACCCATCATCAACTGCACCCTGCTTTCCAGGTGATGCAATCACAGTCGCTGGGTCAATTCTGTGCTCCGTCTAGATTTCTGTTCAACGGTCTTGGAAGCTTAAACTTTAAGGGATGTACAACCCACCCAATATGAATTGTTCTTGTCAACATCTCTTGAATTGAACTGAACTGAAAACTAGTGATATCTCCTGCCTTCTTGAAGATGCTGCCTCGAGGCATACTATTAACAGTAGCCATCTGGGTTTAGCACTGACCATTCGCCTTGCTTCCATTCATAATGTTGTCAATATCTTGATATTTGTATATGGTATTCAACTATATCCATTTCGGCAATTTCGAAGTCAGTGTTCTATGATTCGTTTGCATTGTATGTCTTTCTTCAACACTCCTTGAGCCAATTGGACATCTCAGTCCAATCGCTGATCTATTCAAAAGTTCACCGATGTGAGTAACATCTACTCGAGTGTTGGCAAAAAGCAGAAACTCAAACCATCGTTCTGTACTACCTACTTCGGTTTTGAAGCAAGGAGGCTTACGACAACGACCAATACCAGTGAATACCTCAACTCTTCTATCGACTCTTCTTAACAGCTGTGCCGTTGAATACTCCCTTGATCCGGCCATTAAACACCGATAAAAAGTTGCGGGTTACACGCATATTCCACGCTCTCTTCTCACAGTTGAGCACATCGTTGAGCGATATCGGTCAGAGTCAGTTGGAACGTAGGGCACTTGTGACGACAGACAGGAATCTATCGCCTAGCCGGGCTCATTCGGGAGGTAGGCCTACCAAGCAAGCACAAGGAAGCGATATTTTGACAGGTTCATCCCGTTTGGCCACCCCAAAAGACTTGACTACCTAGAATAGACGGTCGAACAAGGTGGCTGGCTGTCTCTTCGGAATGCTCCATGTACCGAATAAGGCACCTGGTTACAGATTTGACGCTGCGGGCATGAGAGCACGACCAGCAAAGCGCTCTGTGCCCTGCGTTGTAGTGTTCTGATCTTTCGGACAGTCCGCTGTCAACGGTGCATCATGTACCTTTCGGGATGATCGTAAATCTCTTGCAGAAGATCAGTCTATTGCATGGACTGCTTTGGTCAAATGTTTTCATATGCAAGAGCCAAGCCGAACGCGAGCACATGTCCAACAACTGAATATGGTAGGTAGGTGGGTATTGCGAGGTCGTTGTTTGCAGACGAAAGAGTCGGTTGCAGCATTTGAGCTGAGCTCTCGGCACGAGCTCTGGGGGGCAAATGGCACGGCGATCACAGTTGCACGGCACCGGGCGGGATACGAGCGGCAAGCAGCTAAAGGGCACGGAAGCCACACGAGCCTAGCAACAGAGCCAATTTGGCGTTATCGAAATGTGTTCCATTGATTCGATGCTGAGAAAGTGGCCAAGAGCCGGGTGAGAATTCCACGATCCGACACTATTGAGGATGAGGTACTTTGCTCCTGGACTGCCACAAGAATCGCGACTCGTACGGTATTAGTAGGTCCATCGTTGTGTGGAATCTTTAGATAAAATGAAATATGTCCAGACATAGAGCTCAGCGTATCTGCACACTGGGCTAATATACACGAGGCAGCTAGATCTGCCAGGGGCAATCAAAATGGAAATGTGTACATGTCCATCGCAGAAGAAAGCACAGGGGGTTGAGAAGCTCTGGAACGCAGGGCAGAAGGGATGACAGTGAGTTTCAGACATGATGATTATCTTTTCTAGGGGATCAACCATGTGTGTATGTAGTACCTGTTATAGACCATACGTGGGAGCGTCCCGAAGTCAATAAGTCTACCACCATTGCTGGATGGCATGGTGAAGTTGGATGGTACGGAGAGATTTCCCGTCCATTGGGTCCCGTCCCTCAGCCAGTGCCAAATGGGGTTCCAGCTTCCAAATGGGAGGGAAAGCTCACCCTCTGACCCCTGGTCTACGTAGTGTACGGACCTGAGTCCCAGGGCTGACGGGAGGCCGCTGCAGCAGATTCTGACAGTGGCCACGTTCCCTGTCCCCGATCATATGGAGACAGGATGCCCAAGAGCTGGGAACGGGTATGCGGCAGCCCTCTGCAGCGAAGAGAGGTACGTGGAGGATACTTAGTTGTCAGAAGCCCGCCATGCCCAGAATGCATGTCTCGTGTACTTTGTACCGTCTATATCCGCGATTCTGTGGTGACACCTATTCGACCTCTCCCTGCTATCGTCCATATGCTGCTCTGGATAAGGATTTTGAGAAATGCCCAGAAAGAGCCATGTCGACTTTCGCACGTAATTATACATCCTCGCTTCTGCATGGGGTTCGTTAGAAGGAAAAAAAAAAAGGGTGAATGCAGCTGTTGAGTTCAGGTCTGCTTCCATCAATCTCAGTCGCGAGAAGTGGGAGATACCTCAAGCTGGAAGCAGAAGTAGAGATTCATACAAAATTCCGCGCAAAGATACTTCTATATACCCCCTGGCTGTTCTTTTTGAGTTACAAACCTCCTAGGAGCAGGCCAGTTGTCGCCCCACCCCCTTTATTCCACCTCGCGGTACTTCCTGCTAGCGCTCCCTTTTCTCGGGGTGGACGCACCGCGTACGCTGCATTCGTACCCCCCAACCCTGTGAGAGTCCTTCAGGTCCCCCAAAGTCAGTGGGATGCGTGGCTGCTAGCGCGCTCCTGGTACTCCAGCTCCTCTGAACATTTTCCTGAAGCCATCCTTCTCTCTCGGGTGGTCGACTCGTACGAATACGTATCCCTTCCTGTGCACCTCTCTTTTATTTTTTTTCCTTCCCTTCCCAGTTGCCCTTGTTCATCTCGGGGGAAGAACGGGATTTCTCTTATTCTTCCATTCTACTTCAACCATTTCCAAGGCTTCCATCCAAAGGCCTGAACACATCGGTCAAGATGGCGACAGGCTCAGCACGCTATGTGCGATACATTCTCTTCGCCTTCTTCGTAAGTTGATCCCCAGCTACCAGTCTGCGCGAGCGCAGTCAGCTCTACTCCCTAAACCCACCGCGCGATGTCTTTCGCATCTCGACGATATTCCCGTGATACACACGTCAACGGAGCTTCATGACCCCGTGCTTACATCTACCTTTTCGCGCAGGGCCTCGCCGTTTTCTACTTCATTTCCCACTCGAGCTACGAGGGCGTAAGGCTTCAGGATGGCTCTTTCAGCAAACCCGGCGGTGCTCCGGCCGGCGGCCAGCAGCAGCAGCAAGGCGAGAACAAGGAGGCCGACAAGCCCAAGCAGCCCGCTCAACCCGAATCCAAGAGCCCCAAGGTCGGCGAGGCATACAACCCCAAGGACTGGCCCATGGCGATGACCCCGAACGAGCCCGGCTGGGATGAGCTCTCTGGCATTGCATCCGGCCCACGCATGAATGCTACCTTTGTCACTCTCGCCCGCAACTCCGATATCTGGGACATTGCCCGCTCCATCCGTCAGGTTGAGGACCGATTTAACCGCCGCTACAACTACGACTGGGTCTTCTTGAACGACAAGCCTTTCGATGCCACCTTCAAGAAGGTCACCACCTCCCTTGTTTCTGGCAAGACTCACTACGGCGAAATCCCCAAGGAGCACTGGTCATTCCCTGAGCACATTGATCAGGAGAAGGCCCGCAAGGTTCGCGAGGACATGGCCCAGCGCAAGATCATCTACGGCGACTCTGTGAGCTACCGCCACATGTGCCGCTTCGAATCTGGTTTCTTCTTCCGCCAGCCGGCCATGATGAACTACGACTACTACTGGCGTGTTGAGCCCTCCATTGAGCTCTTCTGCGATATCCACTACGATCCGTTCCGCTTCATGAAGGAGAACAACAAGAAGTACAGCTTCGTTCTGAGCTTGTACGAGTACGTCGAGACCATCCCCACTCTTTGGGACAGCACCAAGAAGTTCATCAAGAACCACCCCGAGCACATTGCCGAGGGCAACTCCATGGGCTTCCTCAGTGACGACGGTGGTGACTCTTACAACCACTGCCATTTCGTAAGTTGGCCGACGAAGAGATGTTCGCTGAAGACATTACTGACTGAAACTAGTGGTCCAACTTTGAAGTTGGTGACCTCAACTGGCTCCGTTCAAAGGCCTACATCGACTACTTCGAGTCCCTCGACCAGGATGGTGGTTTCTTCTACGAGCGTTGGGGTGACGCGCCTGTGCACTCCATCGCCGCCGGTCTCATGCTGCCAAAGGACCAGATTCACTTCTTCAACGATATCGCCTACTACCACGTTCCCTTCACTCACTGCCCCACTGGCGAGAAGGTTCGTCTCGACAGACGCTGCCACTGCAACCCCAAGGACAACTTCGACTGGAAGGGCTACTCTTGTAAGTTGGATTGGCGAATGAGATGTCTGCAACCATCACTAACAATCAATCAGGCACGAGCCGCTACTTCGAGATCAACGGTTTGGACAAGCCCGAGGGTTACGAGAACCAGCAGGACTAGATCAAATCAGGGGCGTGATAAAAGAGTGGCATGTAACAACAAATTCCAGAATTGGCCTTGGGTAAGGCCACCAATTGAGTTTACCTGCATCGATGAGAGGCACTGGTCAGGCACATGGGTACCAACTGTGGAGTGGCGTAAAAGGTTCTGTAAGACTTGGACACGTTTTTTGCTGTGTAGATATAGGCAAATGGAAGGGTCCGTCTGGTGTTTGTCCAGCTTTAACTTGAAATTGTTTCTGAACATGTTTGAACACTGTGAAATCTCTTTTGGTATTTTGTACATTGTAGTAGTACACGTCTTGATATGTCTCCTGGTGTCTAATATTCGTACACCACAACGAGGGCAAAACTCCCCTTCCGCTCCTACTCCCTTCCACAGCCCCCCATCCCAGCGCCTTACACTCATCTCATCCTCCAAACCTAGGAGACAGTAGCCTTCTTGGGCTTCATCGTACCGTACTTGGACCGGGAAGTAGCACGGTTGGCCACACCTCCGAGATCGAGGGCGCCACGGACGAGATGGTACCGCACACCGGGACAATCCTGACTGCGGCCGCCGCGGACGAGGACGACGCTGTGCTGCTGGATGTTGTGGCCCTCGCCAGGGACGTAGGCGGTGACGTGGCGACCGTTGGAGAGACGCACACGAGCGGTCTTGCGCTGACCCGAGTTGGGCTTCTTGGGGCGGGTGATGCCGACCTTGAGGCAGACGCCCTTGAGGGCGGGAGCGTTGATCTCGGACAGGGCGGGGGAGACGGCGTGACGGGCGCGCTTGCCCTTCTTGTGGCAGCCCTGTGAGTTTGTATAGTTAGTTGAGTGTATTGTGGAAAGAGGGAGGGGAGTGACGAACTCTCAGGACCTGCATGATGGTGGCATTTTGTACGGGCGTCGAGGAGAAGGATCGGATCAGGGGGGTGGTGATGGCGGCGGTCGGTGTGAGGATGGAAGCGGCGCGGGGGAATGCCGCTGGCCTCATCGCCGGGGCGAAGAGGGATCTGAGGAGTGTGCTGGCCATGTCGGGCAACTGGTGTCGAGAGTGGTCGGCGTCCAATTGCTGTCGTCACAATCTGGAAGCTATCGTCGCGACTGGGCAGCTAGGTGCATTCGAATCCCTGAAGCTGGATTTTTTGCTTACCTAAGTCAGTTGGCTATCGCAAGGGGTTGGACGATGATAATTGGCGCCTCAGGCCAGAGGAGCGCGTTCCGTCCCCCGGACCCACTTCCGACCTTTGCAACTCGGACCACGGACGGCATCGGCTTAGGTGACTCGCACTGGGCGGCTTGAGAGGTGCATCACATGCCCGTTGCAAGAATTCAGGTCCTGACGTAAGCGACTCTAGCGTCACCGTGTCACCCCAAGAAACCCCCCTGGCTTGTCGCCCATCTGGGTGCTACGCCGTCGGCTTTCCCCCAGACTTGGAGCAAAACTGGGGACTCTGGAACGATGTTGGCCCCCCAGTGTCCCCCCGCTGCGGGATGGATATCCTCGGCTGAAGCGGGCGCTGTGTCTGTTCGCCAGCCGCCAGGTACCGTGGCTTCGAATGGCTTTGAGGTTCACGGTCTAGGGCGCACCGCATCTTTGACTTATTTTGTGTGGCCTGCTCTACTTTACCTACACGTTACTCCTGACTTGCTCTCCTGTCTACGATTAATCTCACCTTATCATCTCACCCTTCATTTCGGGAAACCGTTCAACGCCAATTGACCGTTTCCGTCCGGGCGTTTTGCCTTCTCTCTGTTAGCTAGCACCGCACGGCCGAGCGAGACCATAAGTAGCCGAGGAGTTCCCACGATCCCCAGATCTTCCCGCACCTCCGGAGTTTCCTTGCTGTATTCTTGTCTCTTGTTTTTGCCGACTTTGTTTGAGAGGCCTTGTCGCTAGATACACATCACATCGTATACCATGTCGTCGATTGCTAGGGCCGTTCGCCCTGCTTTGAGGGGAAGCCGTGGTGTTGCTGCCCTCGCAAGGGTGAGGACTTGCACACCGGGCAGAGCGCTCTCGCCACTCCAGCAGTAAGTCCTCAGCCTTTGCGCAGACTCTAGCCCATGATACTGAAACATACCCCCTCCTCCAGGACCGCAAGACCCCTTTCCACCACTCAGCGACGCCGTAATGCCGACCACTTTGACATCGCCGACATCCCCCCGACGCCCATCACCCACCTCTCCGAGGTCGAGGCCGCGATGCAGGAGGCGGTGAGCAAGTTCGCCAACGACGTGATCGCGCCCAAGGTGCGCGAGATGGACGAGGCGGAGAACATGGACCCGGCCATTGTCGAGCAGCTATTCGAGCAAGGGCTCATGGGCGTCGAGATCCCCGAGGAGTACGGCGGCGCGGGCATGAACTTCACGAGCGCCATCATCGGCATCGAGGAGCTCGCGCGCGTCGACCCCAGCGTCAGCGTCCTCGTCGACGTGCACAACACCCTCGTCAACACGGCCATCATCAAGTGGGGCAGCAGCCAGCTCAAGAAGCGCTTCCTGCCCAAGCTCGCCACCAGCACCGTCGGCAGCTTCTGTCTGAGCGAGCCTGTGAGCGGGTCCGATGCGTTTGCGCTGGCGACCAAGGCGACCAAGACGGAGAGCGGGTACAAGATTAGCGGTTCCAAGATGTGGATCACCAACTCCAAGGAGGCCGACTTCTTCATCGTGTTTGCCAATTTGGACCCGTCCAAGGGGTACAAGGGCATCACGGCGTTCATTGTCGAGAAGGACGCCAAGGGGTTTTCTATTGCCAAGAAGGAGAAGAAGCTCGGTATCAAGGCCAGCAGCACGTGCGTCATCAACTTTGACGACGTCGAGATCCCCAAGGAGAACCTCCTCGGCGAGGAGGGCGCGGGTTACAAGTACGCCATTGGTCTCTTGAACGAGGGGCGTATCGGTATCGCGGCTCAGATGACTGGTCTCGCTCTCGGTTCCTGGGAGAACGCCGTCAGGTGAGACTATCCCTTTTCTTATCCCCTTTTCTAAACTCTTGTCTTACTAACACACCTCTGAAGATACGTCTGGAACGACCGCAAGCAATTCGGCCAGCTCGTCGGCGAGTTCCAGGGTATGCAGCACCAGATCGCGCAGTCCTACACCGAGATCGCCGCCGCCCGCGCGCTGGTCTACAACGCGGCGCGCAAGAAGGAGGCGGGCGAGAACTTTGTCATGGACGCCGCCATGGCCAAGCTGTACGCCAGCCAGGTCGCCGGCCGCGTGAGCGGTCTCGCCATTGAGTGGATGGGCGGCATGGGTTTCGTCCGCGATGGCCCCGCCGAGAAGTTTTGGCGCGATAGCAAGATTGGCGCCATTTACGAGGGCACGAGCAATATCCAGCTCAACACTATTGCCAAGTTGTTGCAGAAGGAGTATACCGCATAAAGAGTGTGGTAGACACGTTTTGAGAGAAATGGTGAAGAAAGAAAGAGTATGAAAGTTGCAAAGCTTTTCCCTTTAGGAGTCGTGTAGGTTTTTAGATGGCGTCTGTTGTTAGCAAAAGCGACACGATTCGGTGTTGGGGCGTCTTGCCTCGCAAATGATGATTCGTTAGATGCTATATTAAATCATCTGTGAAAAGTCTCCAGAGCCTTAATTGTGACTGGGAGTTGCGCCCCCCCCTTCATGATCTGAGTTTTAGCATCTTGCGATGCCTCTATCCGCTTCGTAGAATGTTGCCCGCTTTCGTACTTCATGCTATCAACCTTGAAGTGTGTCTCAGCAGATATTCCAGGTAGACCGCCACTGCCAACAGTTTTTGTCTCTAGTTCAATCCGGGGATGATTATCAGAGAGCACTGCCAAGTGAGAGTATTTCGAGACAGAGAGAAGTGTTCACTGTCGGCGAAATACTGGTCTGCCGAATGTTTCTGCTTCAGGTTGAAGCAGGGTGTATGTACATTCGGTAGCATCTAGCAAATCCAGTATAGCAGTCTCCTGCCGACAAGATCAGAATTGGCGTGACATCACGGTGAAAACCCACTAGTCGGGTAAAGAGCGGCTGTCTGGAAGGTCTAGGCGACTATTAGTTTCATAGTCTGTACCTCAGACCTCATACCTCCTCAGATCGAGAAGGAACCAACTTTAGAGAATTCCTATAGCGGTAGTCATTCCTTGGCGCTCAAACCAAACCGGTAGATGAAATAAACCGCCAGTCCTCTGTGGAAGCCAGAAGTCGTTGACGTTGACATATTTCATTCATCCCATTTTAGGCGTCCAATGTTCAAGTGCCGCGTTGTCCTGCATGAGCTCAACAAGAGTTTACACGCTTCACATGGCCCGTTACGGCAAGGTTCTATGTCTTTTCCAAGCAACATCAGACCGGAACACATACGTCAATCAGCTACACACGGGCCAGTGGGAATCTGACCGGAACGTGAACCGGGCAAGGGAACCGCAGGAGGCGTTGCGAGAATGAATCCCAAATAGTTACCTTATGCAATGACGCGTCCGAGCGGTCCATGATCGGCTTCATCGCATTTCGAGGATCTGAATAGGGACGACGACGAGAAAGCATGAGTGAGCGAACGTTGATCGGCTTGAGCCGCAAATTTTCAGCGCCATTAATGATCCGAGGTTGGGACAGAGATCCAGGCACAGTGGCTGACTACTACATCCCACTTCCTCGGGAGATTTCTCACGCATTACGCGGACCGGGTGGGTTGGGGAAGGGGACCACCTTGGACGGCGGCCGCGGAGCGAGGGTGGGTCGAAACGGTTCCGCGACGTCAACTCCTCGAAGTTGGCGGGCTGGAATTACGTGTTCTCTCACCCCTCGGATAAGTCGCAGTGGCTGGTTGTCACTTGTGTTTCCATGGCTAGCTAGCATTAACCTCTCGAATATGCATTTGGCGGCTCAATATGCTTCAGTATGCTTGGTCTAGCTGAACCGTGTGTGGTGGTTGGCAGTGAGTGAGCTGCTTCAAGCTTGGTTGGTAAGTTTGTTTCAGGTACACGTTACAGATGACATGCTGGGCCGTGGTATGGCATTTCCGTTGATCGTGTCTGTGATTGGGACGAGAACCATATTCGGGGTTGATGGGATAGCTATCCACATTTTTCCCGTCCGGAAGAGGTAAGTAAAGTGTTGTCAGTTCGTATTCAGCAAGGGGACCCGCGTGTTTGATTATTTATCGAGGTTCAGCGGAGGTGTGGGTGAGAGAATGTGTGTGTGTGTGGAATCTGGGGGAAGTTTTGCGGTGTTAGTGACTGGAGGAGAGGGCTGAGGACTTGGCCGTCGGTGTGGCGCGGCGTTGGGCCGGAAAGGCCGGCCGGCAGCTGTGTGGTGGCGGGGGGCATTTTGGTGAGACCTCTCCGGCAGAGGTGACAGCCGGGAGGCTAAGTCGGCCGGCGGTAAAAACCCCCCATCACGAGGGGGGGGGGGGGCGGTGGTGTATAGAGCCCTGTGGCGATGGCGTTGGTAAGGAGGCCTCTTGCATTGGGGAATCTGTCAGATGCTTGTGACGTTACTGGTGGTGGAAAAGAGCATGACGGGCATTTCTAGTGTATACTGAGAGGTAGAATGGTGAGTCTGGAGCACTGGCATGTGCTCGGTATCGCTCATGGGATTATCGGCTTTTAGAAGTAACTCGAATACCTCCTGCGTAGTCAGCGTGAACCTGGGGGTATGCGTCCCATTTCACTTACTGTACGAAGAAAGAAAAAGACTAGAGCAGGGTTAGACGTAGAGACGGAAGACGAGAGACCTAGGGCTGCATCATCAGATCATGGCAAGGTGACGGGCAGCTTGTGTGTAAAGTGTGATTTGTGCGTGGTGGACGTGATGGGGGATCGGGCGATGATGCAGCTGCTGCAAGCCCGTCGACTACGAGGATGGGCCGTGTTGGGAAAACTGGGCCGATAAACTCCCCGAGACTTGGAGATGGTGGTACAAGTATCGTCCGCTTCGTATGTACAATGCCATACAGTATCCGTACCTAGAGGATTAGTGCTCTCAGCTGGGCAACCGGGTAGAATCAATCTGACCATACCTACTGCCAGGCAATGTGTATAAGTGACCATAGAGTTCCGTCTCCTTGATGTGTGGCTTATGGACGAGAGACTGGGCTCACTGGAGTAGGTATGTCTGGAGAGACAGACAAGAGTGTGGTTATGTGTAGATGTGAAATGAGAGGTAAGGTACCTTAAGGTACTGTGTGGATGGTTATTGTGGATGTACAAAGGTACATTGTTCATTGTATCATCAGCATAGGTAAAGTGACAAGAGCGAGTTTGAACCCGGGAATGCAAAATGATTGGCGCAGAGCAGAAATGAATCTTCACCACGGTGAAACAGTGCGGTAGGGAAAAAAGTCCTAGGAAAGCCTTGGAGCCCCACGTCCGATCCAGGACTTTTTCCCAGGTCGGGTCGTCGCTTCCTCTGTCTTTACTGTGTACGCAGTAGTCCTTTCCAGTATCTGCCCTTCCCCTCTGTGAATCTGCAGGGCGCCGCCACAAGTTGCTGAATTGTTTCATTGCTCGCCAATCCTTTGGCTGGTGACACTGAGACGTACAGGACGACGAGGGGCATGGTAGCTGAAATGCCAGAGATAGGATTGTTAGAAGGCGACCGGTGTGGAGGAAACGGAACAGTCCAGCTGAGCTTGCTGCTCTATGCGCTCATCTTCCCTGTCTGGCAAGTTGCAAGCGAGTTCGCCAGCCAGTGCGGCCTTTTCACTATCGCCTGAAATACGACATCATACAACTTGTGCCATCCTGGAGCAGCTGGCCATTGCTGTACTTGTATGTACGCCGCTGCAGCAGGTAAGGTAGGCTGTATAGCAGTGTAGGTAGGTTTCCGCGCTGGCCTTACGGATACTGGGCATGAATACCCGCATGGGAGAGGGACAAACCTGGTAAGCGCACCCGCAACGAGTGTTGTTGGGCATCAGAGGAAATGGGGACGATGAGACGCCGATGGATCCCCCCGAGGACGGTCGAAATAACATTGCGGATATCTTTGATGATCTTTGGCCTTAGCTACTGACCCTCGGACCTGTGGGATTGCAGTGGCACGAGTAGGTGGTAAATGACGAGATATGAGGGCAGGTAAAGTACCTTGATTGAAATAATCGTCTGAATAGAACCTGGTTTAGCTCGCCTGCCATCTTCACATCGAGTTACAGAGTTGCCTCGTCCGTGCCGGGTGCTTTCGTAACACCCCTCCATCTCAGCGGTAGCGTAAGGCAGGTAGGAAGCAGGCAGGACTCAATGAGGTCGTCCCCCTCCCTCCCCTCCAAAGAGGGTACGTACCCAGTACCTTACCTTACCTTAGGTATTTCCCAATTCCCGTGCACTCAGAGCGGGCGGGCAGCCCAAAGGCAGGCCGCAGCTCGGGGCTTCAGGACTGGAGGTGAAGGTGGGAGAGATACTTTATCTTCCAAGTATCTTTTATACCCAGAAACACACAAACAATACATCTTTCCCGGTACCCCGTCCTCTCCCGTTGCCCACCGTCTCCTCGTCCTTCCTCACCCACCTCCACTCTGCCCGCCTGCGCACTGGCGGCCGCGAGAGAAAGAGAGAGAGAGCGACCCCTCCCGAGAAACCCCCCCCGTCTTTGCGTCCCGTCCTGCTCCAAAACCCACTGACGACATCCTTCACCAACAGCCCAACCTGCGAAAAAAACAACACCACCTCACGACTCGAGGGCTGGCTGCACCCACCGATCTTCTGTCGTGACAGTTCCGACAGACCGATCCTCCCGCTGTGCCAACCTACCCCGAGCCCCTCCGGCGCCGAACCTCCGGTATCCATCCATACGCATACTTCGCTACTGAACCTCGTACCCATCTCTTACCTACATACCTCACTCTCGATCACCCTCTCTCTCTCTCTCTCTCTCTCTATCCTCGCGTCGTATCCTGTCAATACCATACCTCGCACCCACTACCTCGCCCACCACCTGCGCGACATTGAGGTGACCACAACAGAGCGGGCGAGAGAATCTGCGTACACTACACCTAAACGCAGCAGACGCTCCCCTAGTGCTCTTCTTGAACTTTCAAGTAGCTTCAAAGCTCATTCTTTTCCCCCTCCAACCAAAAAAAAATATCAACATCAACACAACACATAGTTCCTGCGCGTGGAGTCGCGCAACCCCACCGTCACAATGAACGACGAAGATGCCATCCAAAATATCCTCAAAAAGATTGAGCGCGAAAAGGCCCTCCTCAACGCCGCCAATGCCATGAGAGCCCAGACAAACAACGAAGCCGTGCGATCACGACTCGACTCCCAGATGCGCGATGGTCGTCGAAACTTGCAGTTCTTCGAAGAGAAGCTCCGCGAGGCCCAGCTGCGTCGGGGTATGGACAACATGTCCATGGGATCCCCTTCCGGTGACGGTAGACCTTTGAGCGGCGATGTCGAGGATGCGCCCGCCCC